CTTAGGCTCATCTCCTTCCTCTTATTTCACCAGACAGTTTCCTATGTTTTTGGAGACTTTATTGTGCATATTCTGCTTTTTGTATAATTTTCTGCTCTTAACAGCCTTGTTCTCACAGAGGGACCATTAAAGAAGGAGGAGGATGATACTGGAGTGGAACTGGTGAATCTCTTAAGATCAACAGGACATGACCAGATGGATGCCTGTAGATTTAGTTAGGCCCTGTTATCAAAAGTGATGGATGAAGGTAGGCTTATCTCTGCAATATCACCAGTCCAGTTCTGTACATACTGTATTTCACATATCCACACCACAGAATCTCTGCCTCCGAGAGAGATACTGCTTGGTTTTTTAAATGACAGAAAAAATGTCAAGATGTCAGTCTAGTCTCAGTGAATTGGTTACTAATAAGCCTATTTAAAAGGTAAAGGTTGTTTGGGTTGGCTTTTAAACAACCAGACATATATGCAGCACAGAGCAGCAAGAGCATCTCCTGCAAAGCAAATCTCTTACCTACTGAGACATTATGCTCTAGCAAATGGCCTCTTAATTTAATCAGGATCTCTTGTTATCAAATTATTACCCCGTGGTCAGAAAGACCTTAGCTAGAAGGGAACATAAACAAGCTCAGGAAGCTTGTTAAGTAGTAATTGCTCCCCAGGAGATTTGGTCAACTCCAGGCTTTGTTTCTTGTTGTTTCTAGGAAGAGACCCTGTAGCTGATGGGTCTGTGTAACTGTCAGTCTAGCGGCTCGTTGTGATGTCCATTCAGAAATGCTGTGCTGACACACGGTGCTCTTTCTGGCCAAAGTTGAAGTTCAATTTGATACGCAGGTTAAAAATATTTTCTTAGGAAACAAGTCCAGTTACTAACAAGTTAGTACAAATGAAAAAGGTAAATAATCTAGCACTTCTTGTTTAACTATTTATGCTGTTACCTTTTACATTTCACTTGGCTTGGCTAGTAAAACCAGATTAGTCAGTTTTAGTCTTCTCTCTCCTCAGTTTTGTTCTCTCTGTCTCAGGCAGTATCAAAATGATGCAGTATTACAGCAGAAAATGTATATCCAAATGAAAGAAAAGTCCATTTAAATAATAAAATGATGAAAGTCTATTGAGGAACTGTCAATTTGATTTTTTTTAATCACTAAACCTAACCTCACTGTTGTCACTTTATCTTTGCCAGTATATTTGAGTATAAACTATAAACGTGTTTGTATATGGTTAAAAGTGTAAGGCAAAGAACTTTGTATTGGTGCAATATGTAATTGTTTATGGCTTGATTTTCAAAGGTGCTGAGTATTGATTCCAATACTTTGGGAAATCAGCCCACTATTCTGTAATAAGATATAAGGCATCACTGTGACAGCTGCTTTATTATTGGGGAGCTCATGCATACCTGAGGTAAGAACAATCAAGTGATAAGTTTCCCGTTCAGTTTTTTTTACATACTTTAAAAAGTCAAATGTTCCTTTAAATTAAATACTTACCAAAGAAATAAAAATGTGAAATAAGAGTATATTACTAGTATGGAAGAAAGCTAGGGGCAGGTCTACACTACAGCCAGAATCGACGCTCTGAGATCGATCCACCGGCAGTCAATTTAGGCGGTCTAGTAAAGACCCACCAAATTGACTGCAGATCGCTCTCCAGTCGACCCTGTACTCTACCCCCGACGAGAAGAGTAAGGTAAGTAGACGGGAGATTTTCTCCCGTCTGCCCCCCGCGGTGTAGACCCCGTGGTAACTCGACCTAAGGTACGGCGACTCCAGCTACATTATTCACGTAGCTGGAGTTGCATAGCGTAGGTCGACTTACTGCAGTAGTGTAGACATAGCCTAGATCTTGACTAAGCAGTTTCACAGATTTTTCTCCCGTCAACCACCCGGGGTGTAGACTCCATGGTAACTCGACCTAAAGTACGTTGACTCCAGCTACGTTATTCACGTAGTTCGACTCACTGTAGTAGTCGAGCTACATGAATAACGTAGCTGGAGTCAACGTACCTTAGGTCGAGTTACCGTGGGGTCTACACCCTGGGGGGTTGACGGGAGAAAAATCTCCCGTCGGCTTACCTTACTCTTCTTGTCAGGCATAGAGTACAGGGGTCGACTGGAAAGTGATCTTCAGTCGATTTGGTGGGTCTTTACTAGACCTGCTAACGCTACCACCGGTGGATTGATCTCAGAGCGTTGATCCCGGCTGTAGTGTAGACCTGCCCTTAGTAAAGTCGTCTGTTTCTGATTGAAGAATACATGCACTAAAGGGACGATTTGGTTAAATATTAGGGTTTGTTTCACAAATGTTCACTGAACTTCAATTTAAAATAAGCAAATGTAGCAGAACATAGAATGTTCATCTAAAAGACAAGGTTTGTGATTAGATCCCAATTCAACAAAAAATTGAGACTATTTAAAGGATTAACAAGACTATAACGATGGAGTTGGAGACAGGTACGTGCCCCATGAAAGAGGGTGAATTCTAAAGCAGGAGACATTTGTTAAGGCAAGAGTGTCTTCTGAAAATGGCTCCTGTTTTTTGGTCATTTTAATAGTTTGGAATTTTCAGAAGAGTTAAGGGAGGTTGATTTTAAACATTCTTCTGATATTTATTTTACAAGGTTTATGTACCATCCCTCTCTTTCAAAGGGAAAGAGCTTCCCCTCTGTTGAACTGTACTACATCTTGGGCTTGAGCCTGCAAGGTGCCAGGTCTAGCAAAGCACGCAGGCATGTACTTAACTTTAGGCATAGGCTGTAGTACCACTGAAATCAATGAGACTAAGTACATGTTTAAAGTTAAATCTGGGCTTAAGTGCTTTGCTGTGTCAGGCAAATGTGCTCAGCACCTGGTGGGAATAAGCCTGTTCTAAAGTGCTGCATGTTTGCCCAGATTTCTGGGCCCAAGCTCTTAAAATCACTCCATATCTGAATGAATTTCCAGTAAAATGCTCTGCTATTTTTCCAGTTAAAGCAGCAGCAAATGTAGTTGGGCACAAAGGGTATGATGGTGAGCTTGAAAAAAACACCTGGATTTTCTTGAGAGAGACTGGTTTGAACTTGACCTCCAGCTGCATTAGTAACACTGGAATACAGCTCATTATGAATTCAGGGACGCTAGGTGAATCACTGAGGATAATTAATCCAGCTCCCCTCAACTCAGGGAGGGTCAAGCACCCTCTGTGCTTGAAATGGGGGCTGATGATACTCAGCACTTCTCATGTAGGATGCCTAGTGCAGTGTTTCTCACATGCGGCCACTACGGGCTTGTCTTGCGGCCACAGCCTCCTGGGCAGTGATGGGGGTGTGTGTGCAAAGCAGTGGTCCCTCCCACAGGGCCACCAGGTTGGACCCTGCTCCCCTCTGGAGACAGAAATGCTGGAGGAGCAGACAGCTAGTGGGTTCCCCACCTTCCTGGGGACCAGTGGTGGGCAACCTGCAGGCCACACATGGCCCCTCAGGATAATCCACTGGCAGGCTGCAAGACAGTTGGTTTACATTGACCGTCTGCAGGCACAGCTCCCAGTGGCCCTGGTCCTCCCTCAGACAATGCAGCCCTTTCACAGCTTTGAAATAGAGTAGCCAGCTCTGGCGATGATGCAGGAGGCAGAATGGAATCCAGCTCCGATGGTCTCGCGGCCAGTCAGCAGCTTACCCTGATGGGCTCTGTGCGGGCTGCAGGTTGCCCACCACTGCTGGGGACGGTAGGGTCAGGGTCCAGCTCTGGGGTGGTGGGTAGCAGGCTCTGGCCATGGGGCTCCAACCCCCATCTGCGGGGCTCACATCCTTAGCGCCCCTGCCAGCCCATCATGTCCTTCCCCTCCCCATTCCAGCACTTGCCCCCTACTGACCTCCCCCTCTAAGGCTTAATTTGTCCCCAGGCCTGCGTAAGTCTGCTGCTGTGAAAAGTGATATCAGTATGTTTGTTAATAACACTTTTCACAGCAGCAGACTTACTAGGTAGCAAGTCTTTAAAAACGCAAACAAAAAAGCAAAAGAAACAACAAAAAAGCCCAGAACCCGCAGAGCACCTTATTTGTGTTTCTAGTCGGTTTAGGGCCAGTAAAGAATAGCGACAACTACATTATTTTTATTATTGAGGCTGCAAAAAGATTCAGTAAATTACAATGCTTTGGACATGTGTATGTGCCTATTTAGGAAAAATAAATAAAATAGTTTAGGAAAAATTTGTCAGTGCAGCCACCAGCATGAGGTAGTAGCCTCCCTCTGAGGCCACCAAAAAATTTATTGTGAGAACCCCGGCCTCATGCATTACAAGGGCTCTAAAGGAGCATGAGTTTGTCAGCTTCTCCTTGTTAATCAGTCATTGGTGGTTAGGAGATAAGAAATGAGTATAGTAAGCACTAGCTGGCCTCTCACCTGTGCTGTTGTTTAAGCAGCTATACAGTCCTATACCGTACAGAATCATTGCATACAACTGTGTTGGATCTTTTTCTCCTTTACTGCTCCCATGAGATGGAGGTTTCCAGCAGCCCCTTTGTCATTATTTACTGTGGATTTACATACTTATTGCAGCTTACTGGCTCTGGGCATGCAATAGCTCTTCAGGTAACAGTGACCTTCCTGGAACCTTGTATGTAAGGACAAACTAAAGGGAAAGAGGCTGTATTTGAGGAATGTAAGTGACTTCTACCGCTGAAGCTCTCCCTGTGTTTTTATTATTAGTTTACAAACCCAGCTGTTTAATCCTAGCAGGGCATTGATGACATAGCCAGAAAAAACAGATTCAGCTTGTACCGTGCAAGCTACTGCTACAATAGCTAGGCAAAGGGACCTATGCAATGCGAGAAAGAAACCAGAGACTATCATTTCCTCTAAAGCATGGCTCTCAAACTTTTTTTTACTGGTGACCCCTTTCACATAGCAAGCCTCTGAGGGCGACCCCCCCCTATAAATTAAAACACTTTTTTATATCTTTAACACTATTATAAATGCTGGAGGTAAAGTAGGGTTTGGGGTGAAGGTTGACACCTCGTGACCCCCATGTAATAACCTCACAACCCCCTGAGGGGTCCTGACCCCTGCTTTGAGAACCCCTGTGATCAAGGTGGATAGACAGCAAATGAATTTGCAATGGGAATAGTCACAACAGATAGTGTCTATCTCCCCCCAACTCCTCATACAACCAAGCACAGCTGAACTACATTTATTGCTGGGCCACTCCCCTTGAGCAGATACTGAAGAGAGGAAAGTAACAAATATTGACAGCAGCTGTGAGGGTGACTTACACCCATACCTGCTCACCAAAGCTAGAGGAAAGGGGTGAGAGTAGGAATAGTAGCATGACATTAAGAAAGGGAGAACTAAATGCAGCAGGAAAGACTTCCTGGCACAGAGATAAATTAGATTATGGGATAGTCTCCGTTGGTTGAGGCTTTGGTGATTTAAAAGACACTAGAAAAACTGTCAGTAGGACAGATCCGACAGCATAACAACAAGATTCCCCTTTAAGTTCTTTGATTTTCTAGTTCAGACAGCAACAGCTCTACGACTGGTTTTTATTTCCTCATATTCCTCTCTCTGTCAGAGTCACGCGATTATTAGGGAAGTTCTGTCTGTAACAGAAATAGAACAGAGAGCAGAGTGCAGCCACTGCATGCACTGGTGCAAACGTGATTTCATGTTCTCCCGCTGCAGTCATTTCTGAAGGCCCAATGCCAGCCTTAAGCATTTGACTGGATCTTTACATAGCTTCTAAAAAGGTGGGGGCTCCAGTTTCTCCATCAGGGATTTGATCCAGTTTGTGCCATTGATTAGTTTAGTGGTGGCAATGACATATTCTGTGCCTCCGTCTTCCATCTGAGAAAGAAACCTCAGTGCAGCAATTTCAGCGTACGTCACGCCTCCCAGAAAGAACACCAAAGTTACTCTGTTTTCTCCCTGTTGACCTGAACATTTTAGAGATGGTTACAAACGAGATGGGTGCTGAAAGGACAGTTTTAGTCTGAACTTACCCTAGGGCCAAACTGAAGCACAGATTTCAGTCAAATTACTAAGTGATATGGAGCTGTGGATAGAGCACTGAATGGGTTTTATTTCTGGGTCTGCCAGTGACCTTAGGCAAGTCACTACCTCTCTGTAGCTTAGCTTCCCTATTGTAAAATGGAGATAATACCTCCTTTGTAAATACTATGAGATTTACTGATGAAAAGGGCTATACATTACAAGAGCTAGGAATTATTTCTACCACCTTAGGGCAATGCTCAAAGGCAGCTCTCTGTACTGAAGTTGGGAAGATAATATACCAAGAATTACTACTCAAATGAACTGTACAGATGGATGCTGTCAGTCACTACATCAGACTCTGTAAGTGAATTTAACAGTAGAACTGTCCCAGACTAATCAAGTTACTCCAAAGAAGCTTACGCTTTTTTTGAAGGCCAGTAGGTAACTGCTGCCTCTCTTCAAAGTGGGGTCCTGGGAGCATCTTTAAAACTTCTTCTATGCTACGCCACCCTGGGCGAGCAAGCAGCTGTGCCAGACGCACACTTAATGGAGCATAGCCACTGTACACGTATGAAATATCATTTGGATTCTGTAGGAGGGAAATGAACAGCAGTGGAGTTTTCTACTGAAAAGTGACACTTCAGCATATTAAAATCATGCAAATGTACAAGCTGTCCCCACCCCCCCATCTGTGTCCATCTTCCAACTGGTCTGCCTATTGATAGAAGTATTCAGTTTACCTGTTCATTAACATCGTCCATCCACAGCCGCATGGTTTTCCTGATTGTTGGGTAGTTGTTTCTACTGCTTGTCTGAAGTTTTAAGAGTCCAGCCTTTTCCAGATTGTTTAAGGTCAATATATGTTCATAGCCGTAAGTCTGTAACATGAAGATTTTGCCTTTACTGTAGTACTGTCATTTATGCATCAAGAGCAAGTTCTTAAACATCACCTGGTTTTATTTCTAACACTAGACACTAACCAAACAACTGAATGAAGTTTGAAATCTACAGACAAGACACTGTCAAGGTTTGCAAGACAATGGCAAACATTTTAAATAGTGAATTCAATTAAACACTGATTTTAGGGACACTGTTTCAAAACAGCTCATAGGGGAACAAGTGAGAGTGTGTAAAGTTAAAATGAACGTTTACAAATGCCTTTTTGCAGTATGCAACAGAAAGCATGACAGTGGGCCAAAACAAAATGATATGCATGTTTTAAATGTTTAAATATATTTCACAGTTAAAAAATTAAAAAAAAAAACAGGATAGTGATTAAACACATGTAGGCCTTGATCTTGTGACGTTTTACACATGTGAATAGTCCTATTTAACTCAATAGGATCACTCATGTAAGCACAGATATGTATGGTGTGCAAATCTTTCCAAGATTGAGGCCTTAATTTGCAAGGAATATCCACATTATTAGTTAAACAGTTCTAGCCTGACCTGGAGAATCTCTCGTTTATAATGGTCCAACACCTTCTGCTTGAGTCCACTATTACACACTGACTGCAGGCAAACCAGCCTTAATATCTTGATCAGTGGATGTTTTTGAGCAATGCAATCTTCAGTGTAATTGTTGACCTATAAAGAAACAGACATCCAAGCGGTCAGCCAAAAACCTAAGTTAGGATTTTAACAGAGCTGAAAAGAAAAGCTGTTTTTGCTTTTAATGGCAAAGCAAAGATAATGTTCTCGGAAGATGCTTTTACCTCCTTGTCCATCACTATGGGAAGGGATCACAGCAGCTACATAAGCAGCTTAGATATTTGCAAAATAGCTTTGTAGCATTGGTGGTTCCAATTAACATGCTTTGTAAATGGTGTTAACAATTGATATCTATGATCCTATTTGATACACTGGACGTGTTTTGCAAACTCTCATCCTTGATTCCCCACCCACCCCCATATCATTAGAGCACTATACAGGTCAAAGAGCAGAGCACTGAAGCTGTGTCAACAGTTGCCCGTGCTGCACTATATGCAGCAGAACCACAGCATTGTAACGGTGACCTTAGTCTCCCCGTGCCTGATAGAAAATGCAGCATAGCAACTATTGCCCAGCCACACCAGAAGACAGACAGGAGGCCACGGATGCAGTTTAATTAGGTTGTAACTTGATTCACTTTAATGTCTAGGAGAATCTGACAAATTGTACAGTGCAGGGAGGAGGGGATGGGCTCCCCGCTGATGCAGATGTAGGAGCCCCCTATACTCAGCTCCCATAAAGGATATTTTCCTTCTGATCCTTTCCCAATCCAATTGATCTGATAAGCATATCCCTTCCATAGCGAGTACCTGCACTGGACATCTGCTACAAGTTTTACATATAAGTTGCGACATGATAACCTAACCCTCCTCTATTCCACCCCCTCGGGTCCTCTGATCAGCTGTGTGGAAGGTGAAAAAAAAAACAAAAACCAAAAAAACACAAAACCACACCATGCCTTGGCCAATCTGGCAGTGAGGGGAAATTCCTTCCCAGCCCCCCAGAAAAGAGGCAACAAGAATAATGGCCACAGTGTTTCAAAAGCAAACCTGGTCCTATTCGAAGTACATTGATAGGTAGGTAGGAGCTTCCAGCCAGATCCTCATAAAGAGGCCCTTGTCTTGGCTACGTGGGGTATAAATACCTCTCCTAGTCAGCAGGAAGGGCAATACAATAATCTTGGCCTGGCACCAACAGGATCCTGCCCTCCCTGTCCATCGCTGTAAGTTTTCCTCCTTTTTGGCCCTGTTACAAGGGAGCCCATAAAGGGGCAAAGCCCCTTTTCGTCCAACTCGCCAGACCAAGACACATTTATAAAAAGCCTACTTAAATTGTGCCCTCTGCATCCTAAGTGGTATGCACCACTTGGAAAGAACGTCTCCAAAAGGCACAAGGAACACACTAAAAGTTTTCGAGACTGGCATCAAATCAGAGTCAGCCATTGTCTAGGTTTCTCTGTATTAACACCCCCCCCACCACCACCACCAACTTTTTTGATAGGTGTTCTAGGAGACTGTAGTTAGAAGATAAAAATCACATAAAGGCAAGATCTTGCTCTCCACCCACCTTGTCAGTGTCTATTCCTGACATGAACTCTTGTTCCACTGTTAAATTATCAAAGAAATCTTCTGATGCTAAAAAAAAAAGTCAATAAATTAGTAAGTTGGTACTTAAACATAAGGGTTAGTTTATCTGTGTATTAAATGGCATCAGCAGAGTTGCCCAAGTATAAATAAGGCCAGTATTTTGCTCCTGGTGTCTGAATTTTTTATGAAATCAGCAAAGTTGTATCTTTGGCTGCAAGACAAACACAAGATCAACTGTAGGTGGAATACTGAAAAGGATACTTACTAGTAATGTCTTTGATTAGCTCTGCAATCGAGGTATGGTTTGCTAGAGAACTTCTTGCTGCCTGCATGTGTGGCAGTTGTGAAACAAACTGCTTGATCTCCCCAACTGTTTTAGCATGGTGTCTTTCCTAAAAACACAGCAATTATCGCTTAGAGCTTATTCATTACAATAATCAACGGCTGCTAAATCATTTAATCAAACGGTGTGTTTCTGTCTGTTTAATTCTGTACTATGTTCATTGCTTTAAGAAAAGTGGAAAGTAGTGAGCTTCATTACCCAATACTGTAATTTTGCAACACTGATCAGTTATCTTCAGTAACATCTGACCTTTCAGACAGGCAGCGTTTACAAAAATATATTGTTTCCTAGAACAGCACTGTTCATCAGTTTATAAAGCTGTTGTGTAAATGCACCATGAGAAAAACACCATTGGCATCAGAGGGATATCTTATTTTACAACAGAGGCTGCTAACCACGTTTCTCTGTGCAATTACATTAAAATAGTATAGCATCTTGCACTCCTACTGTGCCTTCCATCCAAGGATCCCAAAGTACTTCTCAAATGTTCGTTAAGCAAGCCTCAATTGCCCTCTGAGGTTGGAAAATATTACTATCCCCATTTCACAGATAGGGAGTCTGAGGCCCACAAAAAGTGAAGTTTTATTTCCTTTGGTAGATGAGAGGAGTGGCTGCTGATCCTCCACACAAATACATCTAGTAGTATCATGAGATTCAAGATCTTATCATTAAGTGTCACTGGACTTGAGATGCAGTCACTGTGACATACTATTTCAAGAGCATAGACACTGTAGCTGCCCTGCAGGGAGTTAAATCCCTAGGATGATAAGGTAACATACAGTAGATATTAAACCAATCTTACAAAATTCTACTGAACCATTTACTCGGGTGGGTCTTTCTTTTGACAGGCATGTAAAATATTAGCTTAAATCCTGATCTTTATTTCTGTCAAATATAAGGAGAATCCTTGGAGAAAGCAGAAAGAAAAGGAGATTGCAGATGTCTCACTGCTCTCCTTAGTTCTAGTTTAGAAGAGATTGAAAATCTTATGCAACAGTTTCAAACGTTTCAGGGATCTGCAATTTGCAAAGCGTTGCCTTAAACACTTTAAAAGCTACACTTGAAGGACTGTAAAGAGAAGAGGCAAAGGAAACCACAAAGATGGGACCCGGGTTGAAAGATATTACAATATTCTATCAATGGGTAGTAGAGAGTATAAAACTTCATGTCCATTAGAGAGCTGGACAAGATGGCGTAAGGAGGCAGGTTTACTGGTTAAAGCAGGGACTGGGTCAGAAATATGGGGCATTCTGGTGCTGGTACTGCCACTACCACTAACTTGTTGCCTGACTGATGGTTAACCATGTTATCCAGCTTCACCATGCTTCAGTTTCCCCACCTGCAAAACAGGGAGAACACACACCTCTCTTGCAGGGTGTAAGACTTAACTAGCATTTGTGAAGCTCTCAGCTCCTCAGATGAAAGCTGTCAGAGAAGCGTGAAGTGTTTGGTACACCCCGAGGAAGGGGAATAGAGAGAGCATTTTCCCTCTCTCCAAAACTGAATAGCAGCCTATTTATTTTGAAACAACTTTTAAAATAAGTCCCAATCGTTAAAGTCTGCCCCAAGCAATCTAGAAAACCTGGTCTGATGAAGCACAGACATCTATGAATTCTCAGTCAGAACAATCCAGACATTTGTGTTTCACCCAGTCAACCTATTCACATCTTGTCACAACGAATACAAAAGGAAGCTTTCTAAAAAGTTATCTTGACTAAAATGTAAACTATACAAATGGGCAAGTACAGGCAGGAGAGTGATAATGAAGTCTGCAATTTACAAGCCCTTCGCTGCCAAAGTACTGCTGTTTCATTATCACCTATTACATCTGACAATCTCTCATCTCTTACCTCCCTTCCAGTGTGAAGTATTTTAATCTTTGGGAGCTTCCAACATGAATACGCCAGTAAGGGTCTATTTCTGCAAGTCAAACCTGAATGCACAATTTAGATTGATATATGGTACATCTAACTGGCCTTAAGATTGGCAGAAATGATTAAAAGCAGAGGGAAGGAACACAAAACTATTAACTCACTGTCAGCACAGCGGGTCACACAGTTAAGCACGGCCTGACTTCTTTTGTTTCCTCGTTTTGCGTGTGTATTTGTTTTTAAAAGCAGGGGGCAGAGGGAGGGAAGAAGAGTGTTCAATTCTACAGCTAATGGGCAACAGCTGACAGGCCAACTGGAGTCTCACTGTTGGTAAACTGCACACCTGTAATAGGTGCCTACTGGCTAAAAGGCAACTAGTGTCTATTAGTCCTTAGCCATGTACACTCTTATTATTGTGTATTTGACTGTGGCAGCAGCTAGAAGCTGTCAGGATCCCATTGTTGTGTGTACAAAATCTAGCACAAAGAGATGGCCCAGTCCTAAAGAGCTTGCCGTTGAAGAAATCCTTAAACCAGCATAAGCGCCTCCCATTTTCTAGCCAGCCCTCCATTGGTCTTGTGCCCCACTCCTCCAGTTGCTATTTCTTTGGTTTTCCTAAAGGAGGGAGGATGATCCAGTCACTCAGATTCAATTCCCTGCTGTGTCTCCGACTTTCTGTGGGACTGTGACACCTGTACCCCGTGTTCACCACTTGTACATGGTTAGGATATCTTTTGTGCAAAGTATGCCTCATCCAGTTGAAAAGTGTGAAACAAACAGCACGTAAAATTATGAAATTTTGCTATATGATTGTTACTGAAACATGTTGTGCTTCTGGGTAACATCCACAAACCAATTTCTCAGAGACAGACACCCTAGCACGCCAAAGTACTAAGGAGTCATTACCGGCTTAATCGGACATTCTCCAGTGGTGGTGGTGGGGGAGTTGTAAACAAGAAATTTACAATTCATCTGAAGGACAGTTTGGAGCTCACATATGCAATGGAACTGCCCAGCCCCATGATTCAGCAAGGATTTTTTCAGTACAAAGGGTTGGGGGTATAAGAAGGGGAGAAAATTGTCCTTAGCCACCCTTTCCATCTCTCTGCTGCTGAGAGCAACAACTCTGAAAGAACTGAACAAAGCAGCGGAGTGGTCCCAGGCCAACCCACGAAATGCATCGCAGCACATAGTGAGACAGACCTTTTGCTTTTAAGCCTATTAGCCTTGGTAAAGTTTAGGAATTAACTGGTGTGTTTATCCTTTTATTTCTTTTGTAACCAATTCTGACTTCTAGGTCTTATCACTTGTCACCTAGCTTCCTCTAGTTAATAAACTTGTTTTACTGTTTTATTTAAACCAGTGTGTTTTGTTGAATTACTTGGGAATCTCTACTTAGGTCAACAAGCCTGGTGCGTAATCATTACCCATTGTTGGAGTGATGAATTATCTATGAGCATGTCCTGTCCAGTGGGCTACTAAGCAGTACAAGACGCACATGTCTGGGGAGCAAGGCTTGGGCTGAGGGATATGCGGGTGTGGCCCTGTGTGTAATTCATGGATGGCTGGGCATAGCAGTCACATGTTCAGCTGGGAGTGACTTTGCCTGCTGGTGGCAGAGTGAGCAGAGCCTGAACAGGCTGCTGTTCATCAGGAAAGGAGTATAAAAAGCATCCCAGGCTGGAGAGCTAAGGGGACACAGCAGTCTAGCGGTTCAGATTGCACCTTGCCGAAAGTCACTGTGACGTTCCCCAAGTCACTTAGGGTGAAATCCTGTTGCCACTGAAGTCAAAGGAAGTTTTGTCAGTGACTTCAGTAGGGCCAGGATTTCACTCTTTGTGGCTCAGTTCCCCATCTGTACAACGGGGATAACAGCATTGTCCTACTTCCCAGGGGTGCTGTGAGGATAAACACACTCCAGATTTTGAGGTGTGCAAATACTATGATAATGAGCGTAATATAAATATTAAGTCTTTTTTAGATTGTAAGCTCTTTTGGGCAGGGACAAGTCTTTATTTCTGGTATTTTTATGAAGCACCTGGCATGCTGGGTGGTGCTATAAAGTTAATAATAATGAGGCTTTAGATTAGTTTAAGATGCTTAAGCTACTTTAAGACCCTAAAGAGTTTTAAAGTGGAGATGAGCTCAAGCCAAAACCTGGAATCTGAACCACCACTAACTATGGGACAGTCTGGATCCCATGTGATCAGTTTACTGAAAACTACTAGGGAAATAAAATGCCAAAGGCTACATTCATGTAATATTAAGGTTAGGCATTGGAAGGGGTATTAGTGGATCTTAGCCTTGTTTCATGCTCAAATCTGCAGAGCAGTCAGATCCAACTCTCCACCTAGAAGGAGCAGACTGCCCAGATGACATGCTACTGGGCGGTACAGCGGTGTATACGTCCTTTACCTCAAAGGCTGCAGATATGATTTTGGCTTTCTTGCTTAGCACCGACCCCACAGCGTTGAAGTTCTTGTCTCGAATTTCAGCATACAGCTCCTCGGCAGAATTCAGCTGAAGCTTCTTCGGTTCCGTGGGGAGATCCTTGCCACCCTCACCCTGCTTCTTAGGAGCAAACTTTTCAGGAGGGAGTTTCACATAAGCTACCAACACAGCAAGAAAAGAAATGACAAATTAGAGCTCAAACCCCAGTACTTAAACTGACCAACCAACCAAAACCTTTCCCCAAGCAAGAGGCAGCTCTAGCTTAGTGTGAACACCTATACTACAACTTGGAAGAAATGTTACTACATAGAAGATGATTTCCCCTAATTCGAAAGGGTAGAAATTCCTACTAGCTATATGTAAACAAAGAGGCCTATACAGAGATCTATATAGTACCAGAGAGATGCCTTCTGCTCACCCTCATCAATACATTAGGTGGAAGTTACCAGCTCCACAAGCTTCTGGCCCTACAGTTTTCATGATCCCATGAAAAGTGCCCTAGGATCACTAATGTCCATGTACAGCTGACATCCCACAGACTCACACGTAGCAAAGAGCATTGTGCTCAACTCATCTTCTTGGGAAGGATGAAGCACTGAGCTCACCTTGTTGGGATTGAAACCAGGGTTTCAAATTACATCAGGCATCTAAGCCACCCCTTTGTAGGTTCAGCTAAATTATTCTCACCTTCATCCCAAATTCCACTTGGCACCTGCACTTTATTCTAGCACTCAGGAATTTTATTTTACTCCACTAGTTTCACTGTCCATGTTTTGCGGCACTTACTATTTTGAATTCCATATATTTCATCAATAAGGCCTTCGTATGTAAGCTGAGTAGCTAGAGGCGACAACAGGTCTACATTGCGGTCAAGCAACAAGAGAGTATCAAAGACGGGAAATATTGAGTTCTGGCCTCCAGGGAACTCTCGCTTCATCCTGATCATCATGTTAGCCACATGCTGGAAATAAAACATTTGGTTCGTTATGGCTCAGACCATGAAGGGTGGCTATGACAACTAGCATTAGAGACATATGATGTACAAAGACAGGGAAAGAAGTGCATGTTTAAGAAGTAAACGGGAGGAGAGGCAAGCTATGTAACTGGTACGAATGGAGGAAGGGCCATTAAGAAACAAACCAAACTATTCTACGACAAGAAACTTGCTAGTTTAGTCTGACAGAATGGTCACAGAACCTGAACTCTGCATTCAGTTCCAGATGCCTCCTTACTGAAAGAGGTATTTATGAACTGCACGGAGTTCAGAGAAGAAGAACAAAAATGATCTGGTAAGAGGGACTGAATTATGGGGAGAGAGCAAAAGGACACAACACACGTAACTTGACTAAGTGATGAATAAAGATGAAGGTATATAAACCCTTCAGCTATCAGTAGTCGGTTAACTCCAAGGAGGGAGGGGAATTATTTAGAGTGGTTAAGAGTCTAACTAGGAGAAAAGGGATGAAGTTAGGTCAAATATCAAGGAATCTTCTTGACAGTGAAATCTATTGTCTGTGGAACTGTCTCCCATGGGAAGGCGTGCAAGCCCGACTGCTTGGGATATTTAAATTAAATTACACAAAGCACTAAAGAGGTACAGCAGACAACATTCATGCATTGGTCAGGGTCAATAGGTCTATAGGTCTTTATCAACTCTAATTTACTCCTAGATTCATGGACTTTAAGTCAGAAGGGACCATCGTGATCACGTAGTCTGACCTACTGCACACTGCAGCCACAGAACCTCACCCACCAATTGCTGGGATTCCAACAGCAAAGTGTTCATGAAAACCAAGTGAACAGGACAAACTCCAGTGAAATACAGACATACATAACACCACCACGTGTCAGCCTCTCAGCAGCCAGCTGGGGAGGGGGAGAAGAGATCTGGGCAGGCAAAAAGAACGGTAGGGAACATACTTATAACCACGTTTCTTTAGGGGAGCAGGGCTCGTGAGAGTAAAACCTGCAGTGACAGATTGACTGAGAATTGTTTCAACCAACAGGAGCCCAAGCAGCAAAATGCAGCTCGCGATCCACAGGATCAATAAACCCAACACACATTAGCAGCAGCTACAAAAACAACCACCACCAAAAACAAAAGGATTTATCGTCTTAGAAACACAGATGTTTTAAATTTGTTTTACCCGTGCACAATCCCCCTTCCCGAAGATCTGTGGGATAGTTCCATAGAGCGCCTGTAAGGTCATCAGCCCCTTGGCTGCATGGTACAGACTTGTCTGGTCATTCTCCAAGTAACACTCCTAAATGACAGGGAAAGGAAGGTTACAGAAACGGAGGATATTTAATTAGCCTGATCTTAAAATAGAACCTGGCTGAATTGGATGGCTTGAGGGATTGCTAAAAGGATACAGAGCCTTTCACCTTCAGGTCACTGGTTCAAATCTGGCCCAGGTCTTAGTGATCCAAAGTCATTACTCGCTATTGCTAATGGCTGCTCAGTGAGCACTGGGATACCAGTTTGTGCTTCAGTGCAGGCCCCAGGGGGCAAGCATGCAGGTCACAAAACCATCATTATAGTCAGCACTAGCTGTCAGACTGAAGGGTTGTCTGTGTGAACAGTGAGTGCACAACGAGCTGGGGTGTAAATCTACCCCACACTAACCTGCTGCGCACCAACTGTCCATAAGGACCCTGTTACCACGCACTAAAAGTTCCCCAGTGAGCTTTGATCTACCCCACTTTCAAAGCTAGTGTGCAGTAGATTTATTCCCCAGCTTGCCCTGCACCAATTGTTTGTATATACAAGCCCACAGACGACATTCCAGGAGTGAATGAACTATGGAGACTAAGCTAGGCCTTCCTGCCCTTCTACATGTGGTCAGGGTTGAGGACTCTTTCCCCGCCTCCTTCCCTCCCACCCCCCCATACATGTTCTGTGGTTAAATAGGACAGTGAGCTCCAGCAATGCCAACTAGGGATGTTTCCAGCACTAAACTCACTTTAAAAAGTGAGTCAGAACATGAAAGTGATTGCTACAGCTCACCATGCTATTTAACCGTCCTTACAGTCCACATACAGCATTGCAGTGCAGGCTGGTTGTTTAGAGACATGCACAGAACAATCAAAAATTCAGTTTGTGAGAAAAAATGACCCTGAGATTAAGCCCAGTGGCCTCCTCCACAGAGGAGAGACACCTTAACAGTGAGAAGAATTCAAGAGGAGGGGGACGATTATAGCTGGTGCCAGGAACTACGAGTAGTTTGATTACTCCTCCTGGAAAAACTGCTGCTGTGACACACCAGCCGGCAGTCCAGCAACAGGACTGCAAAGCAGCAACTTTCATGTGTGCCAGCAACAAGGGGAGCTGGATTCACAAGCAGCACAACTCCGCATCCTGGGGGCTCTATCTGCTCAGAGCGATTAGAGTTAATAATGACTATTGGGGAACTGTTATGAGATCAAAGCCGTTATTTTAGAAGTCTCTAGCCAATGTGTTGCTCCTAATTTAATGCAGCAGAATAACAGAGCTGAAACAACAAATCTCTTTCCTGTGACTTGGTCAATTAGAAAATGTGTCACCAAGCTGGCAAGTTTTATCATGTCCGGACATCCTCTCTGCTGCTCACACAGGGATAGATTCAATACACTAACAAGGGGAGATGGCTAAAGAAAGCCTCACACGGACTTAATGGCACTACGTGTGATATGCTGGCAATGCAGGATATATACACAGCACTGTTGCCCATCTTAAAACAAGTGTTAAGTCTTTGCACTGCTCTGGGGTGACACACCCTAACAATTACAATTTACCCTTCTGTAGCATATTTGACACAGGAAGCTTCAAGTTCTTTATAAAGATTAGTTATTTAAGCCTCACAAATCCTGTTCACACAAGTATTACCCCATTATACAGATGGGAAAACTGACACAGCCTGGTGAAGCGATCGGTCCTCGGGTGCATCGTGGCATTCAGAAACAGACCCCAGGAGTTCTGACTCCCAGTCCACTGTTCTACTAGAGTCCGACCACATTCGCTCTGTAACTCCTTTTATTGCCCTGTGGCTACTTGGTCTGAAAAGTGCTTTGAGATCCTTGGATGACGGATGCAACACAAACATGCAAAGTATCTTTTTCCTCAAGGCATAAATCAGCACTTACTTTAAATGCACTTTCAGACTCCATGGATAGCAAGTCTCCATCAAACGGAATGAGGTCCATACTGTACTGTTCTCTATGAATGAAGGATCCCAGAACGCCCTGATCCTTCAGCCGTTGCTCGCACAATAGGCTGCGACGGGGCACAAACAAGATGTGGAAGTCCCTCAGCGGAGAGCGAACTCTGTCTTCACTGGAAGAGAATCAGCTTAAGTTGTCATAAGAATGATCACCGTAACACAGTATATACTGACGTTGGTTACTCAGATCGGCAATACAGAAGACAAAGGGGGCACTGAATGGAAGCAAGACAAAGTTCCTGACTGATACTTTCAAGTACCTTATAAATAACGGCAACCCTACTCACAGCCTTTTATTTCGGAATATTTTGTACAAATCGACACCCTTACAGTGAAGGGGATGGCTCAATAGTTAAGCAGTAGGTCTGTAGGCTAAGCAGCTCAGCAATACTTATGCTGCCCAGAGCTACAGGTTCAAATCCCAAGCAGGGTTGACTTGGCCTTTACCTTTTGCAGTTGACTGTGGGTGGATCTTTCAAACAAGAACTATCTGCTCTGATGAACATGAATGGTTCCAGGGCAATTAAAAAACTGAGTAGAGATTTTTCCTGGTGTCCTTAACCAAAAATTTCCCCCTCTCCATCCTGTTGCTAAGCACCTGCTTCCCATCCTCCAACCCCAGGAATGACGGCATTTCAGTGATGCTGTAAGTATGGGCCAATTCTGATCCCCGTCATGCCGAGTTGCGTAGCAGTTTCACACTGAAGTGAAAGATTTATTATTAGTGAGTGGGCTGAAATCTGCCCAATTTATTTCACTCATAACTTACATCTGGTATGAACCTGGGGGGGGAAAGAAAAAAAAACATTAATCCCACTGCACCACCACAGCTCTGGGAAGCAGCTGTTGTCTTTCCACTGAAACACCAACTGTACCTGAGCACATTTTCAGCAATTATATCCATTAACTCTAGCCTGGGCCTGACAAAGAAAATAATATTCTTGACATCAGCTGGGGGCAGACGGCCCGCCTTGAGGGTGAACATCTTCTCCACCTCATGTTCCTATGAGGAGACAAAAATGGTATTCAATCCAGGTATTCAATCCAGGTATTCAACTCCTGTTATTTTGAAAACTGGTTTCAGAAAGGGCCACATCAGCTGAAATTGATCCGCTAGTTGTTACTGTGACGCCTTATCCAAGGATAGCAACACGGATTTCATCTTCAATTTCAATATGCTGATTATGTAAATTATTAGTTTACTGCATTACACCACCATTAAAGATGGAGGTTCTGCACATCTGGTCTGTGGGAGGCGAGTTGGCAGAAGAGCAGTAAGTGATATTCCAAAAGACAGAGTCTGTTCTTGAAGCACATTTTTATTTCTCGGCTATAAGGCAACAATCTAAGACTGGCAAACCATGGTGACAGCACTGGACAGTAAGAATTAGGGTTTGATAGGCAAAAACTAGGACAGTTTACAGAAATTGGGCTAACAGTCTCTAGAGGCCATTATGAGACTGAGGGTCCAAATAGCTTTTGAGAGTCTGAGTATTAATAAGAACAACATGAATGCCATGTAGGGCTTACCTTTAAAAGTGAGTATTGTGCAATTAATCCAAAGGGTCCTGTGAGGTACTCATCCCACACTATTGCCTAGGAAGAAAAAAAGCCACTGAGAAAAGTCAGTTGCCACAAAGGGGAAAGAAAACCTTGTTGAAGGTGAGATGCCCCCAGAAGCTCAAACATTTGCTTTCTGAGGAAGTGTGGATTTTAAAAGACAGTCATGAATTAATGAGCAAATTTCAACAATCCTTTGCTCATCTCTAGTTCCTTTCATCAGAGGAGCACAACGTGCTTCATATATGCTAATTAAACCTCCCAAGAGATTTTTACTGAATAGGAAAACCATGCAGCCTTGCATCAGTGAGTCTAGCAAAGAGGAAAATGACAAGGAATTGGGATGGCTGGACTCTGGGGCAAATTTGGTGTAGCTGCATTGACTATCCTGAAGACAGTGGAGTTCCACTCGGTGCAAGTACAAAACCTGACCCAGTGTCATGGTCAGCCAGTTTAGCAGGGCACCTGGTAAGAGCATTAAGTGAGCTTTCTACTTGCCCTAGTGAAGACACGTCAAAGGCAAAATTTCCTGTGCAGTGACTGGCACATGCTGGGCTCTGCCTGCCTTACCCCCCCGAGGTGGCTACATTTTAATGATGCTGCACAGCATGGACATGGTTTGCAAAGCTGCCAAGAGTCAGCAGTCCAAGCTCTTGTAACCATTTGTCATGACCTCTTTAGCCATTGCCCAGCATGGCTGCTTTTCACTAAACTCCTGTTCTTCATGTACCACAACTCCACTCTTACCTGACTCTACCCTCACGGCCGCCTCCTCCCTCTGCCTCTCCCTATCTGTCCTCCGCTAACTCCACCTACCACTCCCTCCCAGAACCTCCTGAACTCATCTGGCCTACAGAGCAGTCCAGATGCCACAACCACACCCCCTGCACGGTCTTCTGACTGTCCTTGAGGCCTACAGGGCAGGGCCTCATTTGCTTGGCACATTCTGACCATAGGACAGCACAGCACTGGGGCCAGCCTTACACAATGACTCAGTTTCTAGCCTGAGTTTGCAACGTGTTTTGGGATAATTTATTACCACCCTTGAGTGGGCCTGTGCAGTGATGTTGCCAGGGGCTCCGGAGGCTCTTTACTCCAGGGGTCCCTAGAGCGCACAGAGTCTCAAAGAAGCAGCTGGGCTGTTCCTAACATCTCTTCCTCTGCATGGAAGCGTTAGTCCCATGTGAATGCGAGTGACACTGAGTGGCCGAGAAAGGAATATTCCCTATTTTAGTTTGGATGCGTTTCCATATGGGATGTCTGGATGGGGCTAGCTAAGGTCTAGAGCCCATGAGGCAAGGTGCATTTACTGGAAGTCTGAAGCGCCTGGAGATGCTGAGATAGAAGGGCCTGGAAAGGGTATCCACTGTTATTGTTGGCTGTTTATCAGGGAAAATATCTGCAGAGCAGGAAGGCCCGTTTGGCATCTCAGGGCAGGGCCACCCCCTCCCAGGTTGTCAAAACTACAGACTAGGGCCGGGATGAGAAGAGGAGTCACTTCCCCAGCTCCTGAGAAGAGCCCCAAAAGGATCCTACAGCTGCAGATGGGGGAAGAGAGACCCGAGCACCCCATGATGCTCTCAAAACTACAGTCCGGGGGAGAGACATGGCAGCCGCCCCCCAGCAGGAGAAATACCCCCGTGAGTCTTGGAGTCAGAGCTCAAATCGAGAGGAGGTAAAGTAGGGGGCGGCCCCAGAGCCGGGGGGGGGGGGGGGGGGGGGGGGGGGGACCGGAGCCGGACAGGGGGAGGGGCGCGGTCCCGCAGCCGGAGAGGTCGGAGCGGCAGAGGGGAGGGCGGCCCCTGCAGCCAGGGGTCTCGGAGCCGGACGGGGGTACGGGGGTTGTCCCAGAGACAGCAACTTAGGCCCCCGTTTGGCCGGGCCGGGCTGGGCCCCTCACCTTGGAGCCCGCGCACTTGTCCAGGAACTCGCGCAG